TAGGGGAGGCCAGAGCCGGCGTTTGGACAGACCTCACGCAATCGATGAGATCCCGAGAGTTGGCGGTTGTAGCGGAAGAGAAGGTTGTTACATCGGGAGAGACTGCGTGATGCGGAGTTGGAGCGTAGACGCGCCATCACGTTGGGGCTAGTGCAGAGTTGTGGCGAGGAGGAGGGCGAAGCGGAACCGTTACTCAGTGGTGGCGAGAGATTGTAGACAGGTGAGGGGGAGAGGAGGTAGCCGAGACCACTGCTCACGTACATCTCATAGGGTGTTCGACCGCGCTAAAATTTAAACAGGGCAGATGGTTAGGCCTTCGGTTTTTTTTCAAGTGACCAAGTTTTCGCGATTAGGTTTCAGGTTGAGGACATAGTTTGTGATAGTTGTCTTTAATTATTTGACGGATTTCTTGTCTCCAAGTGCTTTCTGAACCCGTCTTGCGTCATTGGATATGTATCAGAGGTTTATCAGTGCTCCCAGTTTATGTCTAAAAGGTACAGTTTTGAACCTACAAAAAATATGAATTCCAGCTTGACAAGAGGATCTAAGCAATTCAATGTGAACCAATCATATTTTATGCCAAGTATTATAAACCTGATTAGATCTCTTTAGCTCTTCATAACTTGAAGCGGATTGCCAGCTGATTAAGGTCACCTATTCCAGAACCCCTATTTGTTAAACTATCCAACTGTCTTCCTCAGTTTATGACCGGCTTTACCCCGGGAAAGTCAACACTTGAACTATACGTAAATTAACGGAAAATAATCAATAAATGTGAAACATGTCCAAAGGTGTCCATGAAAACACCCAACTAATAATAAACGCCTTTCAGTTATATAAGTATGTTCTTGGAATTTGCGTCATCTGAAGTCTGGCACAAAGCAAAGTGCGCAATGTCGGGGCTGGGTTTTTGGGTCGTTTTGCAGATGAATATAAGTCATTTGAACTGGTCTTTGGTGAGAGAACCGAGTTGAAAACGCGCACACTTGCGATCCAAAATGCCGGCATACGTGATGAAATCGTCGGATTCCCGTTTGCACAGCTGGAGGCACTGGAATCGAGTGTTGAACAGTTATGACTACACACTAAAAATCTGCGACAATGCCTTCAACGTGTCCTTGAAGGAAATGTCCCTTGGATTCTTGGGCAAGATGAAGGTGGCGTAGCGTTCATGCTCGGAAGGACCCAGTTTGCGAAGGAAGAGTCGTACCTTCAATGCGCCTTCCTGGGCAGCCAGATAGACAGAGAACACATCTTTGTACTGTTTGTACCAGGAGTCGAAAGTAATTTGAGTCTGCGGGTCATAAGAGAATTCCGTAATGCTGCTGGCGATGGAATTAGCGGATTGTGAGACACCAGCAGTGCTCGATTGGCCCGTGGATGAGTTGGATAGCTTGACGGTCAGGGCCTCCATCAGCTTCAGCTGCTGCAGCAACATAAGCGTCAAGTCCGCACACGGGTCCTCCATCGTAGATGAAAAACTGCGTGGCCAATTTTTACAACCCGCGCCTGTTATTTTTAATTAGCACGAACGTTGAACTAGCCGACCCCAGTTCACAAAGCACTGTACACGAGAAAAGACAGGGGAGACGAAGCAACACGAGACAGTGTGTACTCAGATAAAGCACGTTGGGACAATTCGTTCTCACACAAAGGCAGAATGCATTTGAGGGGGAACGCAAGAGACATGGTCCGTGACAATGGGCCAATCAGAATTGAGCAGACCTAGTTGGCACGCCGCCATGTAGTTCGCGTGTCGCCTTTGTGTGCATGTGACTAATCATGGGAACAGCGGTATTCCCAAAAACTTATAGCGTTAGTCTTTACTGGTAACGGGCAAACGTTGGAAACCTTTTAACACCGTAGGATGAGATAAGGAGATTGATTTCTGGCATATCTTGCTCAGTTAAACTGTATGCTACTGTCACTTGCAGCACCATTTTTGGTAATGAGGACTAGAAACAAAGGGACTGTTGGACCACTTTAACGTCCTATAGCGACTACTTGAACACTCACTTCCTGTTTGGCATACACAGAAGCACCGAAATTCATGAGAAGGTAAATAAGCTCCTCATTTTGGAGTTTGCTGGCGATATGCAAAGCTGTGGTACCGTAGTTATCGGCCCGGTCCACTTCCGCGCCATGTTGAAGGAGAAGATGGACGAGACTGACTGAACCGTTGGCAGTAGCTGCTTGTAGAGGCGTTTTTCCGTGCTAGAAAAGTCGGCAAATGCAAGAGTTGCAGTCAGGTAAATTTGAAATTACGTCAGGCGCAATACCAAATGTAAATTGCATGTGCAAGGGAGTACGTATTATCGAATAAATCAAAATTGCTTCAGACAGCTCATAAAACCTGTTTTAATAAAATCTGGAACACCAAACAGGACGAATAGAACGCTTTTGCATAACAAATGTTGCAAAATGGTGCGAGTTAACGGTTTTACCGCATGCCAATATAGTACATGTGACAATGTTGGGGACTGTGATGACCATTTCTGGCTAAAAGCTCCCGTCAAGTATCACTAACCTGAAACGTTTACCCACGACATGCTGGTAGAACCTTAGACGTTGCGTTAAGTTGAGTCCTGGGGTTGGAATATAACTAGTTGGCAATGAATATTAAGCTAGAAATTGCTATTTTTGTCTAAATGTTTAACCGCAAATTACGTAAGACAGCTGAACAGGGGAATATATATATATATATATATATATATATATATATATATTTAGGCCGTCCTACAAGACAGTTTTGCCGAAAGTTGTTATGGTACTATAATCATTAATATTATTAACAATTAAAAACGGCTCCACAACTTTCTACTGCTCACCTTTCTCACGTTCATCAAT